AAAAAAAAAAAAAAAAAGACTCAAAAGCCAGATATAATGGGGCACACTTGTAATCCCAGCCACTTAGGAGACTGAGAAAGAGGATTTCAAGTTTGAGGCTAGCCTGGGCAAGTTGGTGAGACCCTGTCTCAAAATTTAAACAGAACTAGGTACTCAGTGGTAAAGTACCCTCAGTCTGTGCTACTCATAAAAATCAGCCCAATTAAAAGTCTGCAAAGGGCCCAGGAGTGCCTAGCTTAGCGACTAAATGCTTTGGCTAGCATGTGTGAGGCCCTACTTCATGTCTCAAGGGTGGGGGTGTGATTTAAGGTAACAGCCAATATTTTCCTAAATTACTAATTAAGACACACTATTCTCCTTTTCTTAAAGGAAAACAAAAGGTTACTTACATGTACCAAGGACAGAAATCTGACTGCTCTTTGAGATTTGCTCCAGTCAATCCTGAGCAGGGCATAAAATGAATGTCCTTTTTGGGATTGAAGCCAACCTTTTTCAAAAATGGCACTAGCTTCTCTTTACATTCTTCATACCTATGAAATTTACAAGTAATTCAATTATAATGTCAACCAAATGTTTCCTAAGTAAATTACGGTTTAGAAAAACTCCAGTGAAATACACATGTAATAAAAGCACTCTTTATTCTACCAACATTTAAAAAACACTGACAACTAAGCTTACCTCTCATTGCTCCAGTTTACTGTTGGATCATCCATCTTATTAATAAGCACAATTAAGTGTTTTACACCTGCTGTCTTTGCCAACATTGCATGTTCTCTGGTTTGTCCTCCTTTTTCAAATCCAGTTTCAAACTCTCCTTTCCTGGCTGAGATCACCTTTTCCAAAATATCAAGTAATTTATTTTTACACTTTCAGGCATACTTTTCCACCATAAAACATCTTTTTACTTGTATCAGAGGGTTTCCCAAGAAAAAAGATCCAAGTAAGTTACAATATAGGACTCTGTCGGAAATCAAAAATATCTGCATGGCATGATTGCAAAGTCTAAGGCCAGCCAGATAGCTCAGCAGACTAAAGCGCCCACTTAGGCAGGTGTAGCAACTGGGGTTCAATCCTTGGTGTGCTATGCCGCGCTTAGACAGTGGCTGAGACTGGGTACATAGGCGCACTCCTGTAATCCTAGCATTTGCGAAGCTGAAAACTGGAGAATCACTACAAATCCAAGAATCCAATCTGTGTGTAGTGAGACCCTGTACTAAAAATACATTTAAAAAAAAAAAAGATTTGAAAGTTTGGCGCCAAGCATAGTGGCACACACCTTAATCCCACCATTCAGGAGGCTGAGGCAGGAAAACTGCCATGAATTTGAGGCAAGCCTGTGATACATAGTAGTCCCTTGTCTCAAAAAAAAGAGAAAGAAAAACAGATTTCAATGGGAGAGTTGTAGCTTAGGTATAAAGTCAAAAGTGCCACAAAAACAAAGACTTAAGTGTTTCTTTTAATACCTGAACTTTTTTCTTCTTTTGAGACAAAGTCTCACTAAGTTACAAACTGTCCAGGCTGTGTTCAAATTTGTAATCCTCCTGTTGGTGCCTCCCACTTCCTCAGAAGTCCATTTGAATAATCAATTTATATGATCCAATGTCACTACGAAACCTGTGAAGAATGACTCTAAGGCTTAAGGCACACTGACTATATTATCCATTCCTGATGTTGTAAAGTAAGTTCTGACACTAGTAGATAAGTTAAAATGTAACTTCAGAATTAAATTACAAAGATTTGTTAGCAAAGGCTTGGAAGCACACGCCTGTAATACCAACACTCTGGGAGGCTAAAGAAAGAGAAGTTTAGGAGGAAGAGATAGGAGTTTGAACCCAGCCTTCACAACTTAAGTGACTTGGTGACATTATATCTCAAAATAAAAGAAATTAAAAACTCAAAGGCTGTAAATAAAAATACTTTTAGTTCCTTGTAAAAAAAAAATTTCGAAGGCTGAAGATGGGACCACAGAGATAGCTCAGCAGTCTAAGCACCTGCCTAGGCAAGCACAAGAAGCTGGGTTCAATCCCCTGGTACCACATGCCATGCTGGCCCTGCCCTAGGCACACCAAGCCAACCACCAAGATCCGGTGTAGCGTCACAGGCATATCCCAGCAGGTGTATAATCCCAGCGTTGGGGAGGCTGAAACAGGAGGATCACTACGAGTCTGAGCTGCGTAGTGAGACCCTGTAGCAAATACATGAAAACCAAACCCCAAAAAACAACCAACAAAAAAAAAGAAGATGTAGCTCAATGCAAAGGCCTTTAGGTACCATAAACAAATGAACAAGCAGGGCCAGGGAGATAGCTCAGTAGAATAAGTGCTTGCCTGGCAAGCGCAAGGGCCTGAGTTCAATCCCTGGTTCTACCAAAAAACCTCCAAATGAATAAGCAAGTAAGATTGGCATAGTGGTGTTAGCTATAGAGCACATGGCAACAAGGCCCTGGGTTCAACTCCCACTAATATCAAAAGATTCTATGGGCAGGTTAGTGCAACAAAAATGAGAATTGTGACTATGCGTCATTACAATTCTCTGCAACCTAAATTCTAACATTTAGAAAGTAAATGAAATATTTACAATATAAATCAGAAATAAAAAAATACAATATAAATCGGGTTGCTAACACACCTATGGACTAAAAATATTTATCTTACCAATACAGCCAAATCAGCTTGAGAGGCACCGCCAATCATATTTGGAACGAAACTCTTATGGCCAGGGGCATCCAGAATTGTGAAATGTTTCTTTTCTGTTTCAAAGTAAGCACGACCCACTTCTACTGTTTTACCCTTGTCTCGTTCTTCCTGATTTGTATCTAAGGCCCAAGACAAGTACCTGGAATTTTTAAAATAATAATTATATTGCTAAAAACGTAAGTATCTTGAAAGATATTTTTCTATCATTAAACATGTCATTGATGACATCTAGCTTCACATTGATTCACATAAAAAGGGCTGAAAATAAATTAGAGGGGCTGGGGAGATGACTTAGTAGAATAAGCGCTTCCCTGTCAAGCGCGAGGGCCTGAGTTCAATCCCCAGTTCCGCAAAAGAAAAATAAATAAATTAGAATAAAATGTATTATTGTGATTCAAACAGAACTCTTACCTATATCCAGTCATATATTCTATAAGCAAACATTATAAAAGTAAGCTGACAACACACACACACACAAAAATTACTTAGTACTAATGTCAAAACTACTGTGAATTCAGTCATACTGAGATCCTTCTTTAAAAGTTCACGCACATTGGGCCTGCGAGATAGCTCAGTGGTCTAAACAACCAGCGCCCCCCCCCAAAAAAAAAGTTCACGCACAAAATACAACACAAACAATGATTATAAATAATGAAGGTAATTTTTAAAAGTAGAGGATCCTGAGCCCGGAGAAACAGCTCGGTAGAATAAGTGCTTGCCCGGCAAGCCCAGGGTTCTGAGTTCAATCCCCAGTAATGCCAGAAAAAAAAAAAAAAAAAAAAAAAAGGAAAGTATTTTGAGGCAGGGTTTCACTAATTACTTAATAAAATAAATTTAGCATTAATTGTCCATGTAAAAATTATATACTTACAGTATATACTATGTACGATTTATAGAAATTATTTTAATTGTTTTACCTAATTCCA